CATCAGCCTCAAAGGTGGGAAGGGGAACCATTTGATGATATTGGATATAGGCTCTGCGAACCTGTAATGATGCGCGTTCACACACACAAAACAGCAGGGCCCTGCGAGTTTAGATGCATATTTTTCCCACGCCTGTCACACAGCGCGATTGGAGCCTCGCGGAAGTGCACGAAACACTGCGCCTGTCACCTATTTCACACGTTGGCAGACTATCGCGCGCGTTGGCACCTATTTCACACGAAACACTGCGCCTGAAACTGAAGCGTATAACCTGCGAGGACAGGTGGCTAAAGCACGTGGTGTGGTGAGGTTGGTCCACACGTCTTTGCAGAGAGGCCGCGTTGCGGTCCAAAGCAAAGAATGGTGAGTAGGTGCGCAGCAGGCAGGATCAGGCAGGAGAAACGGCGGTCTGCTTACGCTCGGCAGGCGCAAGCGGACCAGGGTCGTGGAGCAGCGGATTGTGCTGCTTTTGGATGCTTGTGGCAAGATTTCCGAACCCCAATCTGCTGCCGCGACGGGCGGTCTGCTTACGCTCGGCAGGCGTAAGCGGACTGCCACTTTTGACTGCTATAGCTGACCCACCTTTGTCCGGGCGTCGGGCGTAAGCGGACCGCCACTTTTGACTCTGCTATAGCTGACCCACCTTTGTCCGGGCAGAGCAACTACTCAGTGGGTCAGCTATAGAAGAATCAAAAGTGGCGGTCCGCTTACGCCTGCTGAGCGTAAGCAGACCGCCCGTCGCGGCAGCAGATTGGGGTTCGGAAATCCTGCCAAAAGCATCCAAAAGCAGCATAATCCGCTGCTCCACGACCCTGGTCCGCTTGCGCCTGCCGAGCGTAAGCAGACCGCCCGTTTCTCCTGCCTGATCCTGCCTGCTGCACACCTACTCGCAGCATCTGGCCGCGGCATCCTGCAGCGGCACGGCGCCAGCACAGAGGCAGGCAGCAAAGCCCACACAGGCACCTCTTCCTTGAATTAAATAGCTGTGGCTATCTGAGTTTTTTTCCGGCAGCCGCCGAATCCTTTATCGGTGGCTGATTCTGCCAGCCGCCGGATACATTTGCGCCTCCGCCAGATATTTTTTAGGATTTTTTAGGCTGGCTGGCTGGTTCCGCCGGGTCCTTTTTAGGTGGCTGGATGGCTGGTTCCGCCGGATACTTTTTCGGCTGGCTGGCTCGACACATTCCGCCAGGTACTTTGATAGCTGGCTGGCTGGCTGGCTGATTCCGCTGGATACTTTTTCGGATTTTTTAGGCTGGCTGATGCTGGCTGGCTGGTTCCGCCGGATACTTGTTGGGACTTTTTAGGCTGGCTGGTTCCGCCGGATACTTTTTAGGTGGCTGGCTGGCTGGTTCTGCCGGATACAGGTGGCTGGCTGGCTGATTCCACCGGATACTTTTAGCTGGCTGGCTGGCTGATTCCGCCAGGCACCCGGAATGCAGGGTCAATAGAATACCGAGCATGCCACAAGCGCTTTGCTATAGCGCCTAGCTGCTGTTTGGCGGGGTTCTGCGGGCCGCTTCATAATTTCCGTGGACAACCTACTAAGAAGTGATGCCATTTTGTTCAGATTGGTCTGCACAGACTTTGCTAACCTTTGGCTACCAAACATGTGGTCACTGCTTTGCTTGCAGCGCCAGCGCAGGAAAAGCGCAAAGCAACAAGTGCCCTGAAGTGGACATGCCGGCCTTCAGCCAGGCGCCGTGGACGGCAGCAGCGATCTCTCCGAACCGAGCCGAAAAATATTTTGGAAGCATCACAAAGCGTCTGGCAACAGCATGCAACAGCTCCGAGAACCTCCGAGACAACGATGGAAAACCCCCCACTGCTGACTTCTGCGATCAGCGAGCGACATGCTCAAACTCTGCACCCGCAGCCGTCTCAAATTCACACCACTGCACCATGACATCCTACCTTTCGCATTTGTCCCAACAGGACTGCAGCTAATCTCCTGCAACCGGTTGATTGGCCTGGGAAATTGCATCTCTCGCTCCATATTGCTCCAGTTGCTCAGCCGAGCGAAGTCGACGAAACCGCGGTAAACATGCGTGAGCCAAGGATCACCGAGAGATGCGTTGGTCTGATCATGCTATGCCATGCTGAGTCGGACATCCAAAATGAAACGTGCTAGTTTGTCATCACTGATCAAAGCCTATAATATAAGCAGCAGGCACGCTCATCAAAACACCACAGAAACCCGCCGGCGGGGCAGCGCCCCGGACTAGTGACTATGTAGTTTTCATCCGTCAGCCAGCACCACATATCACTACATAAAGGGCTTATTCTGCAGGACCCGGGCCATTGTTTTGTCCCCGCCAATATACATAATTACAACAAATCTATTTTCGACCTACGTCCAGCTATTTCTAGCTAATTTCTACCTATTCCGAGCAAATTTCTGCTTATTCTAGCTAATTTCTACTTATTTCTGGCTATATGTAACTTATGTTAAAAGTGCCATAAGTTCACTTGATGTACCCCAGCTAGCAAAAGCAAAGAGCTTCAGCCAGCTCCGGCAACGTCGTCGCCTCGAAATCCTGCAGATTTGGGCCCAGCACGTGAGGCGCAGGCATTGCACCTCAATGCGCCAGTAATTAGAATGCGAACTGTCCGTGAGTTTTGGCTGAAGCTGGGAGATGCTTGGACTGGGCTACATGAGATCAAGGAACTGTAAGATGTATTCTGATGTGTGTTTTGAGGTCAAATGCACGATGGTTACATCGACAGCAAAGAGCCCCGTGCGTCTCGTCTTAACGCCATCACAAACCGTCCGCATCCAACATGGAGACTCAAGCGCTCTCACCTGAGGTCTTCATGGTGTTCCAAAGCTCCAACCTGCTCCAACCCAATGGGTGGTCTCGACGTCGTCTCATGTGCGCATGTGAATTTCATCAGCCGGAACAAATGGCCTCTATCGAGGTCTGATCCTCTACTTTCTTCGAGCTGGACCCACTTCCGAAGTGGCCAATATGTAACCTGAGAGTCTCTACAAGTTCACCTCTGCATCTAATTCGGACGGGAGGATAACATCTAATAATTCGTCCATTGCGCATGATTGTGCCATAAAACACATCATAGCAAAAACACGCAAAACAACGATCAACCATCTCACTGCCTGTGGACTTGGCCCACCCAACCTGTCTCGGCTCAGTCTCAGCTCAAGGTCGGTCTTGGGGGAATCAACAACAAAATGTTCTCTTCTCCCCAGGCAATGGTGCTTCGGGACGTGAAGTGGTTGGATGAAGGGGACATTGATTTTCTTCTGGCCCTGGGGGAAAGCAATGGCAGCTGCTGCTGCTGATTTGCTATGAAAATCAGTCGCCTTGTCTGTTTTGGCTGCATTTGGCTGCCAAACCAAATCGCAATGGAAAATCAGTAGCGACACAAGCTATGCAAGCTGGGATTGGGAGCAAGTCAAACATCTGGTCAGGCTAGCTCCGGTCTCCGGCTCCAGTGTTCAGCCATAGCCCCGCAAAAAAAATATCGGAAAAACATGACGCTGGACACAAAGAATCCAAGACAACCCACGTCTCGTAGCGCCACGGACGGCTCCGCCTCCGGTTCCAAATTATGCCACATCACATGCCAGATGCGTTCCGCCTGAGTCAAAATTTCCACGCTTTTCTCCCAGTGGGGCACCCTTTTCGGTGAAGGTGGGCCAGAACAGATCGATCTACAAGCGATTCCACTGAGCGGATTTCTGACCAAGGCGATGTGAGAGAAGACCACCGGAACCACAGTTCAGGGTGACTTGTTCTGGTTGGATTCGAAACCAAACACTCTGGAAAATCGACTGTCCCGGCATGTCCCGGCGGTGGGACAGATGTCCCAGCTTGTCCCGGAATGTCCCGGCGGTGGGGTGGATGTCCGGCATGTCCCGGCATCCCGGCGGTGGCCCAGCATGTCCCTGGCGTTGGGTCAGGTTGGGGTGGGGTGGGGCTCATGGCGTTCACTTCAACTAGGATTCAAGCGGCTTCAAATCTCATATCCCAATGTTGAAATAAGTGGTATGGGTTGGGATGGGATGGGGCTGGGGTGGGGTGGGGCTAATGACGTTCACTTCGACTAGCATTCATGTATCTATATGTATCTAATCTCCCAATGTGGAAGTAAGTGGGATGGGATGGGGGTGACTGGGTGAGCGCCAGCAAAAGCCCAAACACGTGTGCAGGGCCACAAGAGCGCACTCAAAGGCAGATTCTGCAAGTTGGCGCCGTCAAAATACACTTTGACGATCTTTGAAGAAGTTGAGTCAAAGCACCGTAAATACCAGCGAATTGGCCTGACTCACATTGACTCACACACCTCTGAGCACCCTGGATCAACACCCGGGCTTTGCCACAAGAACCCAAAATAACGCAAAGTATGGCACACTGATTCGGCCGTCCAGGTCGTTGAGTGCCAAACGGTCCAAATCCTCAGGCCCAATTTGTCGTCCTGTGGAACGACAGAACTGAACCCCAGAATTTACCGCACAAATTATGGACGCACCACCACCTTCTCCGCACCTGGGCCTTCACTGGACCAGAGATCCAAAAGATCCAAAAGAGTGGGGGCAGAAACATGTGGGAGCAGGGAGGGATCCGCTTTGAGTGAGGGGCGTAGCAAAGATTAGCAAAGTACTCAGTTGTAGATGGTTTGTGACCAAATGAGCGAAAATGAGGTTGGTTCCGGCATAATATAGGACACCAACGTCACCTGTCATACCGGAGGGGGATGCTTTGAATCATGGTGAAGCATGTTTTCTTGTCATGTTTGCTTGGTGTTGATGGAGACGAGCATATGAAGACTTGCTATACCAAAAATGCATTCTCTCCAGGCTGGAGCCATGCTGAGCCCACGTTCTTCAACTTTTGGGGGGCGAAAGATGCTTCAACTTTGAATGAACCAAAAAGCAACTTGCTTTGCCTTCGCACTTTATGATGTTTAGGGCCACAATTTCTACTCCATCATTGGAGTATAGTCTTGTGCAATCTCCATCAATCTCCTCTCTCCCTAAACCCCAAAATGGCCTCACCTCACCTTGTTACCTTGCGCCCGTCGTCCGTGGCGGCCTCCTCCCCATATGCAATGACCGCCTCGTCGCTTGACGCGGCGACCGACCCACCCTGCACATGGCGGTCGGAGCGCCTCATGTGGAGCGCTTGAAGTGCTGAGTTCATGTCCGGGAGCCCAATGGGAGGCCACGGGCAGGACGTTGAGGATGTGGCAGAGCTCGATACTCACAGCGTGGAAGATGGACATGGATCTACAGCAAACAGAATTCATTAGGATGAAGTAGGATGAAGTAGGATGAAGGGATGTCATGTAGATGTAGACTCTTGATTCACAAAACTCCGAGACGTGGGGTTTGCAAAGCCTCTTGGAGAGAAGTGGGTTCATACAATCAAAAGCCTACATTTGGTGGTGACATGACTTGGAAGGAATATATAGTCCCTAGGGCTCCAAGTACCTCCTCAGAAGGTATTTGGACCCTCCAAACCCACCCCAAACACTTTCTGAGGAAGTACTTGGAGCCCTAGGGAGTTTATTGATGATTTGTCATCCGAGTTTCGGCCCGAGGGTCCTTCCAGCCTTGGTGAAACTGTTCCGATCCCCTTGGTGATTCGATGTCGTGGCTCTCTGGAATCCCAGAAATCATGAATCCTCAAGATCGATTTTCGGCCAAGTCCGACCACTGAGTCTTGAGGTGAAAACCACAAAACCACGCTAAGGTGTGGACTTCTGCACAGAAGTCCAGTTCGACTATATTTTGACCAGCTGAAGTGTTCAGGAAGTTCCCGAAATCAGGTCCCCGTTCGTCAGACCATTCTTTTTCTAGTCTTGCACTCCCAGGGCGTTCATTTACCTGTGTCTCCTGGCGCGAACGCTTCTGCTTCGATCATCACCGACCCAGACATCGGCGAACTCCGAACCAACCTGGCCAGGTTTGGCGTGAGTGGACCCCACAAACGCGGCGCACTGGCTCGGAGCCTTGGGTGGTCCAAGGGTTTCGGAGGGTTTCGGAGGATCGGGTCGTACACTGTAGGCCTGAGAGGTCCAGGTGCAGATGAGGCAGATCATTTGGCCCAGTCACAGAGCTCGGGGTGGTGTTTGGTCCCCAAGTGAGTGGATGTGACAGGGGCACCCCGACTATACCTCCATGGATCGCACCCCGAGCTCGCTCTGGGACTGGTGGGCTAAGTCGTGATCGGCTCGGGTGGCTGGGCTCGGGAACCGTTTCCGCAGATCTAAGGCAGATCCTTGTGTTAAGCTCGTGACCACAAAATTTGGATAGAGCCAAGCCCAAACACTCCATGGGACTGCCATAGGACTGCCGCTTCAGAAAGACCCCCCTGGCACCACCCCTGGCCGTTTCTGGGCAGTCCGTCCTGGCAGTCCCAGATGGGTCGTTTAATCCCGAGCCGGTCCGGTGGACGTTCGAGCTGGCGGGGTGCCTATACGAACCTGAGTCTGACCTCTATCTTGGACCAACCACCCAAAATATGGCCTTTTCCTATCAAAACAGGGGTCAGTTGGGTTCCAGGTATGCATACATACCTTGACTTTCCAGCACCCCCTAGCACCCCCTAGCCGGCACGCACTCGACTCCCCTCGGCGATGGCACCGCCCAAGACGGTCGTTGGTCCCCATCGTGTCGAGGGCCCGAGCACGGAGTCGCGGAATGAAGAGGAGGAGTCGGGGCCACCCGGCGACGACGGCGAGCACGGAGTGGCGGAGCGTCGAAGGAAGGAATGGAAGGAGTGCCAGGGCTATCCCGGCGCGCTCTGGGGGCCAGGAGAGTTGGCCAAGTCAGTGGTACTTAGTATGTTAAGAGGAGGACACACCCTTCCGCCTAAAGGGTGTTGTTGATTTCCCTTCCAGGGTCGTTGCCTGGGAGCTCGAAGAGACACCCAAGTAAGTGAGCCTGAGATTGTTGAAAAATTGCAAAACTTCCAACCCTGTGGGTTCCCTATATTTGACCCACGCAGACGCTGAAAGCCACGTATAATATGAATGTTTAAGGGCCTGGCTCTTCAAAGTGACCGAACTTGAATCCCCTGGTTTGGTCACAAGGTCCAGGCCTAGAAAAGGTCACAAAGGCCCCGGAACCCCAAAGTTCGGTCACGAACTGAAGATGAGTTCGGTACCCACTCTTGGATACCTGTCACATCCGCTCATCAGTCCTGGATATATCAACCATTCCTGGATGGAACTGCTTTGCGGGTGTGTTTTCCTTGGTGCTTTGGGCGGCCTATTGGACCGCCCTTCACCGTCGACCAACGCCCGCCCTCGTTCGTTCCCTTCGTTCGCTTCGCTGGGCGCACGGTGCGTGCGGGCGTCGCTGTCGTCGCCGGCCGTCCTTTCGTGGAGTCGTAAAGGTTGTTCGTCGTTTCCATCGTCGTTTCAACTGACTATCCCAAACACTCCATGGGACTGCCATATATGCCTACATTAGAGTGGTTTTGGGCTCAATGTAGGCATATGAGGCCAAATGGGTATCATTCCATCCCTAAAACCTCCGCGGAAAACTTCCCAGCTCTCCAAGAAGTTTGTTCTATTCCTCCGCCAGTGGTCGGTCGCTGAGGCACAACTTGGCTCCCCAAACATGCTCCATTTCTACCTTTACCATGCCTCTTTCATACATGAACCTACATGCGCGTGTCTTCCACCGCGAAGGTACACCCCAAAACACACAACCGTTCACCTTCCGAGATGGGTCAACCTTACCGTCCCTCCAGTAAGTTAGGACACCATTCAGCGTTCTTCTGTTTCGACAGGTTTCGTGGGAGTCCTTCGAACCCGGAGTCCGCCAGGTTCGAGCCGGACTCCCAGGCGAGCAGGGACTTTGAGGCTCGCAGGTGCGAGTCCGAAAGCGGCGGAGCTGGCAGAAGCGGAAGCGGGGCAGAAGCGGAAGCGGGGCTGGAGAGGCCATGTCGGGCCCGAACATGTGGGGGGTGGTTATTGCAAAGGTGTCATGTAGGCATATATGGGTGTGTATGTGCTATTGAATGAATGTATTGGGGAGATCTCCAGGTCCGGTAGGGTGTCTCCTGGTCGGTTTCGCTTCCTTCCAAACCCATACCCCTGCGACTTCCGTTCGACCATTAAAAAGATGGGAACAACATGGAACAACCTGGTGTTTGTAGTGTAAAATATTGTAAAATCCTATAGTGGACAGCTAGCACTTAGAATATGACCAAAAGGATTTTTTGATTAGGTCCATATGTCCCAAGGTCACTTGTCCATTTGTCCGCGGACGCGCAGATAGAATTTCCACACATCCACATAGAATGTGCGCACCACACTTAGAATATATGCAGCGTGTGTCAATCCAATCACACTTGCCTCAAGGGAGATGTGCAACCAGTAAATATGCATGAGCCTTCATCTCCGGCGTCTTTGGGTGGGAAAAGATGCTGAGGTATGTGTGGTCGGTTAGAATGTATATTAACTGTGCTGTCGTTCATGAAAATGCCATATTCTAACTGCAACCAAATGCTCCGGCCATATTCTAAGTGCCGGCAGGGCACTATAAGTTGATTCGGGATGAACCGCCTATCAAATGAATGGTTGGCCAGGAAGCCGTGCGGGTATGTTGCCATACATGCATGGAGTGTTTGGGAGCTTCTTTGGTCCACACGGGGAAGAAGCGCTGTCGGATCATGACCGGATGTGCGACCGACACCGAAAGGGTCCGAATCACACACAGGGCTGGTGGAAGGTGACGGGTTTGTAACAAACAAGCTTGCAAAAATCGACCTCAACCAGTTTGTTTGTAGCCTTTTTCTGGTTGGGCAAGAACTAATCCAGTGGAATGCACATGTTTTGGACGAGACCCTGCAATGAATTCTAGTCATAGTGTTTGGGATGGAGACCTGTGGCAACGTTTGATGTTCATTTACCCACATCCTTCACTCGATTCTGAGAAGTGACACTTGCCCCCATCACTGTCTCCAATGTACTTGTATCAAGTGCTGGACTCTGGTGAAGTCCGAGATGTAAGTTTTTTGTCTCACCTCCCGTCACTGCCTCACCTGGTGACACCAAAAGCCCCTGCGTCGCGCGACTTTGAGTCTAATTGGCCCCCCATCCGTGCCAGGAAGATGATCAAGGAGGGCAAACGCTTTGAGAAGGTGCACCGTTCGTCGCGCGTACCCGCGGTGCTGGGACCGAGGGGAGCAGGGGAGCAGGCGAAAAAGGTGTCGACCAGCTGGGTCTCTCAGCAACCAGGACCCTCCAAGGGGTGTCCAATGGACTCCCCCACACTACCTATAGGCTTCCGTTGGGCACCCCTTGGAGGGTCCTGGTATACATTGACCAATAATCAGCTGGGTCGCTCTAGTCAGCATGTGCTGGGTCCATCAGGGTCGACCTGGGTGGGAGGTTTTCAACAGAATCAATTTAAGCAGTGCCGGCCCGGCAAGTGTCCAGACTCGGGAGAGAGAGGGACAGATTGTTCAACACTGAAGGCCTCATTGCCTTCACTCTCCAATCATGGAAGTTTGCTTACGATTCACTTTGTGGAGTTAATGCTTAAAGCTGTCACAGCAGTCATAGCACTCTTGCTTCCCTGCACCCCAATTCTAGCTTCTGCGGACCGTTCACTCAAAGAAGGAAGTGCTGCGCGACGCGCTCGAACGACTTCGCTGCGCGAAGGACTTCGCTGCGTTCGAACCCGCCGCGTTCGTCGCACGAAGCCCAGCAGTTGCGCAGCTTCCTCTCACGGTCCGAACGGTCCATGTGCCTTCCGCCGCGGCCGATCGATACACGCGAAGGAAACACGAAGCAAGGAGAGAACCAGCCAGTGCCAAGCGCCAGTGCCAAGCATTAGGAATACCAGCATCCTCCAACAGGTGCCTTGTAGTGACCTGTTAGCCATTTTAGCCTTGTAGTGACCTGTTGGATTTACCTATTAGGCTTTTTCTATGCGGGGTGGCTTTCAAGCTTCCAAGGGGCTGTGTAGAGGGGGTCCCCTCAAGCCACCGACGTGGACAGAAGCGGAAAGCATCCAGACAAATCCAGGAATCTCGATGGAGGACACCTGGTTCATGGGCACGTGGACCCGCGATGTTTGATCAAATTCCGTGGCCAACGCCCCCAATTGGGCACGCGCCAATTCTTCTTCCACGGCGGTGGTCTGACGCCGCCTCCTACCTGTATAGACTGCACCAAATCATTAAAGGAAGGGTTTCCAACCGCTGTGCTTCCGCCACCCCCACAGCCAGACGTAGACATTCCTTCCAACTGCTGTGGGCGCCTGCCCATGGCGCCGCCATGGCAGCCGGCACCGGTGGCCGATGAGCCGAACACCATGTCGCTGGAAGAATTGTGCCTTGGACGAAGTGATGAGCGGTAGGAAGACGTGGGAGTGCTATGTGCCAGGATCATCCTGTCTGGGTGTCCTGGCGTTCGACTACCCTACGCGACGTAAACAGGTCTCCAGACAGGGCACCCATTGGAAGGGCTATGTGTGTGTGGGTGTGTGTTGTGTTCTAGCTTTTTCAGCCAAGGCATCCATGAGACTGGAAGATGATATGCCGCATCATTGACTCATCAAACTTCTCGAAAACAATCCCCGATGTAGGCAAGTGTTCCAAACAATTAATATGGCGTATCGTTTGGGGATGCTTGGTGTTCCGTTGGAGTCTGAACGTGGAGACCGGGAGCTCGTTTCCCACCAGAGCGAAAATGTGTTTGGAGGTGCACCAACAACCCGACCGACGCTCAAACACAAGCAGGTGACACCTTGTGGCCAAGTGGCTGAGTAAAGCTTTTCGCGTGGAAAGAAGTGCAGCAGAGGGGAGTTGGTGGGAGCAGTGAGGGATCTATCCTACATAGAATTCACTTAGAAACACCACCATCCGCTGGTTGGGGCCGGGTCTTTCGAAGGGTCTGTCTGATTGTGTCTGGGCCACCCCACCACCCCACCTGGTGTTGCTTCAGGTCATTTTATATGTTTTTTGTATGTTTCCTATATATATGTAATATGCTTTTCTGGCTCCAGGTTCCTTAACGCCCTGGAAACCCCCCACCCCCGGAAACCCGCTCGACCCCTCCCCCGCGTTTTCCAGGCACCGCTCTCGGGTGCTAGTGACCATCGACGTGGTGCTCTTCTTCGGCTCAGCCTTGGTGGCCTCAAAGTTCTGGACCGGGTCCTCCGTCGCCGGCTGCGCCGTGTTTCATTTCGCCGAGTGGGTGGTTGGGACACGGGACACTGGCGCTTGTGGCACCGTCACACCGATGTGGTTGACGACCTATTCTACTGGGCGATGTGGCAGATGTGGAGGGCTGGGCTTTGGCACGTTCAGAGGTTGCGTGTTGGGAGGATTCGTCATGTTGACCGTCGAGTGTAAGAATAAAAAGTAACCTGGGTCTAACGTATATGAATTGCTTTTGTTCCTCAAGCGGCCAATAGTGAACAGAAGGGGTACTTGTTTGCGGATATCATGTTTCACCTGCAGGAGGGGGCACAGTTCTTTGCTGGGTGAGGTTGACCAGGTGGCCTTTCCACCTTTTTCCCATGTGTGCTCTTTCCCGAACCGATGTCTGCAGCATCTGCACCAGCTGAAGGCCTCGTGCCCAGCCAGATCGTGGCATGACCGGTCATTGCGAGTCTGCCAGCATTTTCGCCGATCCGCCTGCCGGTTCGACACGCCGATCCGCCTCTTCAGGATTGACACGCAGATCCGAATCCGTGACCTGCGCCGGGTCAATCACGACCCCAACGCCTTGGCGCCGCGGCAGCCGTTCCGATGCGCTGGGCGTGGGCCGCGGGCATTTGGAGGGCAAGAACTTTAGTTTAAATGACCAGGATGAAATGTTCGATCACCTGTAGATTCATGGCACAGACTGCTTTGTGACATCAGTGTTGGGCAGTCCGCATTTGATGCATTTGGTTCTTCCACAAAGGTGTGCCAAACCTGGTTGCTTTGTGCAAGTGTCAACTCAGCGCAGCCCAGACTTGTGAGCTAAAGTCAGACACTGCAGTCTCCGCAGAGTCGGGCATAGCGATTGAACATGGAAAGCCGTGCAAATCCAGGCATCACGAAGGTTATGTTTGCAGCTGTTGGCGCTCGCGATGCTTGGCTGAACTTCCTCGGTTTCTGGTGTGTTTTGTAATGTGATGCGTTTTGTGACGGCTTTCTTGGGAGTGTGGAATGGAGCGACTGAATGGGTGAATGGGCGTTTCAACATTCTTAAGGTGTTTTCCAGAGGGGCTGAGATGCTGGAGATGCTGCTAACAGTTCACCACTTTCCTGGCACTGTTTGTTTGTTTCATTTTTTCCGACTTGAGCTACTGATCGGAGATATTCTTCAGCTTGAGAGGCTCTGACAGCACCTGCTGCACCGAACTGCCGACACGCCCCCCATGGCCTTCCGCTCCGGTGCCCTTCGTGTGGCCCTCGCCCGCGCTGCGCGCGCCGCCGCGCGCGCCAGCGCCTCCGCGCGGCTGGCGCGGCCGGCGGCGGTGGCAGGGTCGTTGGCCGCGGGCTACGCAGGCTACCGCTGGGTGACACCCAGTGGATGTGAAGCGGCACCCTTGGTGGATGTTTCCAAACTCACCAAGGCAGGATGTTTCCCTGGGGGGCTGGGAGGTGGAGGTATGTGTTTTGGGTGGGTTTTTGGTGGGTGTGGGACCTTGCACCATAGGCTATAGAAGCAGTGCTGACGGAGGCAGAAAAGCAAGGGCGGCATAGCTATATGAAGGCGGTATCAGCCACCCGAGCGGTGCCGCATCCACATCCACCGAACCCCCGGATTTGCTGCATGTGGCAGCCTGCCAGGTGGCAAAGATCGATGATGTGGGACTTTTGCCGCAACCTTTGAAGCCCAAGTACAAGACGCCTGGTGTTGCTATACCAAAACACGACACATGGGACTGCCATAGATGCCGATCAGTTGGGGTGGTTTTGGGCTCAATGTAGGCATATATGGCAGTTGCATGGAGCCTCTGGGATAGGATGAAGGTCGTTTTGTCCCGAGCCAGGTGAATCCCCAGCCCCCCCAGCGCTCATCGCCGGCGTGGCGTGGAGCGGCCAGCGTTCATCCAAGGACGGCGTTAGTTCAGATCTACGTCTCCTCGCAACCCTTTGGCGGGTCCGACAAGAGCAACAGCGCCTTGGAGATGCGGAACCCCGGTCTCAACCAGAAACAAGTCTGGTTGTTCATGGTTGTTCCAATATGGCGCCAGCTTGAAAGCCTTTACATAGGAAATGGTTGGGACTGGGGAAACATCCATTTTCTTTCTGGTTGGGACTGGGGTTCCAGGCAAGTCTTTGTTTCGAACAGTGCCAATTTCTTGCATGGAAAACACGTCGAGGAAAGTGTCGCGTGCTTTTGAGAAAAAGATTGTTTTGGACCTTGGAACTCTGAAAAGGGGTATACAACACCGGTATACTGATACTTATGTTCACATTTCTCTCAAGACTGGTTACTGGTGGTGTTCCTGATTCTTCGTGCTTGGCCAGTGTGTCTACGCTTGTTCTTGCCATCAAACCACCTGCTTTTCGGTGTTGTGTTGCCCTAGGCTTCCAACAACCATTAATTTAATAGGCTGTATACCAAATCAACTAAGGATTTTACACTACAAACACCAGGTCAACCATTTTTTTAATGGTCTTGGAAGTCTAGGGTTGTGAAACCGCTGCGGGCGGGTGTTTTCTTCCCGCTCCAGGCGGCCATCGTTACGACTCCATTCCCATCGCGCAGCTCGGCGGTCACCGCTTCGGACTCGTGCAGTGCGAGGCTCCGTTCGCGCCCGCGATGCCCGTCATGGTTACCGGTGGTAGAACCACCCTACAAGTCGTGGCCCACCATCGTTTTAATAGCCTGACATCGTCCCAACCATTGTTTCACTAAGGGTTTTACACTAGAAAACCAGATCGTTCCCATTTTTCAAATGGTTCCACTGGACTTCCAGGATATAAGTACTCACCGAAACATCACGGGGTTCAGACCAGATCAAGGTAACCATGGCCAAAGGAATCGATATGAATCATGACTGAGGAATGGCATGATCGCATCGGGCATGAGCTGCCAGCTCATCCACTACGTCCCTGAGGAGCGCGTTGTTTGGAGTCCGCTACAACTGAGCTTTGGCCCAGGTCAAAACAGTGTTCTACCCTCCCCGCCA